CCGGACGAAAATAAAGAGGCTTAAAATAACTTGTTTCTAAGCTACAGTAGAAAATGAGTGACAAACGTTATCTTCACGTTAAACCGCCAAGGGAAATCTCCAACGGCGACAACAACGTCACTACTGCACATCAATCTAAGTCGTGAGAAGTGAAAGTATTAATGGAACTTTCACTGTTTTGGGGTTTGATAAACTTCTCTCCTTCTCTCCTCACTCCGCGCAAAATGACACATCATTGTTCACGCATATTTGTAAACAAATACTCAAAACTAACTTGAAACAGACCTAGTATTCCCCATGGTATTGCCGTGGTCAGAGTGGGGTGGAAATCAAGTGCAACCTACCTGAATAACATCAGTTTCACAAACAACACACGATTCGTCACTGGACAAAAACCGGACAACGAACACAATCGCATTATCCGAGAGTAACCAAAGAGTTGTTTGCCGACAGGGGGAAAAGTCAGATCGTCATACGACTGCGGAATGTGCGCCCACTAAGTGAAACAAAGTCAGTATACTGATAAGTCGTTGTGTGGAGGGGAACTGCGGAACACTAACGTGAAAGCCTCTATAAGGTGAGATGCGCCAAGAAGCAAGTGTATCGACTGTGATCCACTTAGAACTGAAAAGTAATAATTAAACCAGAGACTGAAACAATTTGAAACGGCACTCTGCTAGCGGTAGAAACAAAATATTGGCACTTTGGAAACCAGTATTCCCGACAAGCGATCAGTGACAGAGGAATTTCACTCCCTCGTCGCCCATCAGTTCGGCTTTCCCGTTACGCTGTAAACATTTGAGGGCGTCTAAAAGAATCGATGGATCCAGACCGTGAAACGGCTCCTGTTCCGTCTCATCTCCTTCCGATAATTCATACAGCGTACAAACCGCATTCCCGTGTCCAGTGGAACGGGCCCATTTGGCAATTAGGTCGGCCCATTCCTCAGGAGTTCGCCAGATTAGGCGTGCATTCTTATGTGATCTGTAAAAAGCACCGGGAGTCGGAAAGAATGAGGCAGTGAACGAATCAGTCCTAGAGAAAGTACCGTTTTGAGCATGAAACTGTCACAGTGGAAACCAAATGTGCATGTGCGGTACAAACCTACCACCACACGACTTCACTGACTACAATGTTTAGAAGGAATTGTTTTTTTTATAAGGAACTGAGAAATCATGAGGTAATGGAAAAAACTAATTAGAGCATGATAGCATAGACTAATCTCGAATAGCATGCATAGTAGTGTCTTGGTATTAGGAACTTCAGTCGAATATCATAATGAACAATAGCTCTCAATAAGGACTACCAACAATCATACAAGCAGTATGTCGGTAGGAGTATTTCCACTGGAGTCAAGAGATTGCAAACTGTGTCCCTTTTGTGTTTGTCAGGGCTAAAACTATCACTCATTGAAGACTATATCCGAACAAACTCCAGTCGGCATTTCTTATTAACCTCGGTGTGAGTTGTTTGGCACAATGCTAACACGTGCCTTCTTCAGGAGAGTTCACTGTAGGAATTCCGAATGGGAGGTGCAGTGAATATCCACAAGCGATGAGCTCTAAACAGAGCGGAACCTGAAATCAGTGATTTCTGGGGTACATGTATACTTTAAAAGTCAATTCAACTGAGGATCTTGCGTGAATATACTGTCTGAACTATAGAATTAAAATCGCAGTTCTATACAATCCGATGAGATACGATGATCTGAAAGCAACAAACAAGTGTTCGGAACCGTAATTGTGGCAGAATAGGAAAGGAAAGAAAAAAACGAAGGGGTTAGTATGTGCATGGTGTCTTCACTAGGTTGTCCGATAAGCAACCATGGAATGCAGAACGAAAAGTCATGTTCTCTGAACAGAACGGTGAGCAAGGCATATTATATTATTACTAAGAAACAACGAAAGGCTTTGCTTGTGTACCCAAAATTTCATTACCTTCAGGCGGGACCAAGTAAGACGAGCGGAAACCGACACGATATCCAGCTTGTGAAGACACTCAAATCACATTTTCCGTATGTACATTTGTCCTATAAAGTATCAGACAGCTCACGGTGGTGTTCCACAAGCTCATAATATTACCAGAGCTAGTGATGACGCCAACCGTCAGTAAAAAATCTATGCAATCAGAACGTGGGTTAAGAAAGTGGGTCACGTTTGACATATTTACGTTTATTGCTCATTTATGAATGCTAAGTGCAATAGAAAAAGCATTATTTTATCCGTTTCATGGAGAGAGAAAGTCGAGGAGAGATACATTGTCTAATTGAGTAATGTATCTGATGGGCAAAGGCCAACCCGAGAAACAGTGTGAACCAGTGTGGCGCCGATGTCCAGTTTATCGGATCATAAGCCCTTCGGTCGGGGTCAAACGTCCAAGATATTCAATACACCTCGATGTTCAAACAAGCCGGCGACACCCACACGAATCAAGATGGTGATGAGATTGACAAACCTTGGTTTGTTTGAAGTCAGAGTTATTAACCAACTCCCCTAGGTGAAGTACCAATGGTTAAACGACCCGGTTACAGCCCCGGATGTAGTTGATGAATGAAGCAAGAGGTAAAGAATATGACATTCGAATCCCGCACTGGTAAACCAGACGTGCTATTTTCTTCTTGCTTAGANCTGAATAAGTGTGATATTAGGCATTTTGCTAAAATTTATTCCATTTTCATTATCAAAAAAGATTTCCGTTAGAGTGAAACTGTGCACTCTGTGTTATCCAAAGTAACTTTTCTGCAAAGCCTTTGGAAGGAAAACAAACAAATCGTGATTGAGGTAATTCTGTTGTGGCAGAGATCGCACTACACACATCTGTACTTGGCGTAACATTTCGTGACAAGTTCGAAAAACCAAAATAGTTATCGTGCTTCTGAGTCAATCGACCAGAATTCCCAATGGTCCATAGCCTGAGCAGATGGCGTGCCTCAAGGCTGGTAAACCTTTTCCGACCAGGGTCATAAAGCTTCCTTGACTTGACTTGATTCTAATAACTTTCAACGCCAAAATACGAATTTGCCTTCAGCTAGAAATCATTCAAGTGGTATTTTAATTCAAGTCAGATCTGTTATCACCTGTGTTGTTTGAAAAAATAAGTGAGTTTCAGTTTTACTTTTTACAACCATTAACCATGCACTTTCGTGCAGAGGTTTTGGTTGTTGTCGTATGACTGTATGGTGAAACAAACACTGATAGAGCATTCACGTGTTTGGTAGAGTTGTGATCAGGGGGGGGGGGGGGTAAGCGTCCTTCACTAGCATACTTTGGACCAATCTCCGATGATTCAACCGTGCTTTTCACCATCCCCCAACTGTGACGGTAGGCAGCTGAGGTTCCCCTTTGCTAATGATCATCGTTAAGTGGTATGTAATAAAGTCTGACATTGTGATTGACTAACTCACAACTGGTAGGCAACAAAAATTCATTGGATTCCACTTCAATCGACCCAAAGCGGTGAGCACTGGGACATTTGACTTTTATACCACTCCCTATTCAACTTAGCAAAACCACTCCCATACATGCAGTCAGTCGCATGAAAACAAACTAAACCAAAACATTAACCGAACCTTACCGATCAGTACAATTCTACTCAGAGATCAACCTATAAAAAGGTGGGTGGATTTTATTACACAGCACTGTGCCACGTATGGCAGAAGGGATAAATTTCGTAGCCCAGGAAGACCAATTTTGCACTCTTAACGATCGGTAAACCAAGTCTTATGATTTAGCGTGGCAAACCATAGCTTAGACGTAATATGAGTGGTATTGAGCCAGACGACAGCAAGGCAGTCTATCCTTAAATAAATGGGCAAATGATGCGATTTGTTTCAGTTGCTGACGGGCCCCGTAGTTAATCGCTGTGGCATGCCTTCAAGCAGTCACGGAGGTAGTGTTAAACCACCAACCACTTACACCCATTTTCTCCGCAACATATGGCCGTCTTTTGATTGGCTCCTTAAAGTTGTTTGGACAACCACATATTCAATAATGGAAGTAAAAGGGATACAACTGAATCGTGAAGAGTTAATGATTTTTTCCATGGGTCTGCGACCAATCGTTATAGCATCCGGGCCCAAGCTTCAAACCAACCTCCGACTCCGAAATATAGGAAATACGAAAGATCTGGTCGGACTTAAGGTGGTGAAGAATTTCCACAAAAAAACACGTTCAAAGCAATACAACCCTAAACGCCACTGAGTGAAAGTTTTACTCAGAATAATCATCAATACACGAGATGCTCAGTTGTAAAAGAGAAATGAATTAAAGGAACAGAATAGAAAACGGTGAAAAGAAAGACAACCAACTTGGAGATTTGATCGACTTAGATATGGCCAAAAATTCTGAACAAACAAACAACAAAAGACAAGTGATTGAATGAGTTTGTTGTAAACATTTCGAAGATAGAAACAGAGACTGACATTAAGTGATCGGGTGTCAAAACCGGGTCATATAAACGAGTGGATGGAACACATTTACTGTAGTAATCATTTCTATGTCTTGATGATTACAACACTTACACAAAAAATACAAACCACTGATTTTAAAAGAAATCTTCACTTACTCTCATTTCCCCTCATTTTGCAAAGCTCAGATTAGCCCTGCATTGAAATACTACAATCAAATGTAGGGAAGAGCCTCGTTTGGCACTGCATCTTCTTGATCGGGTTTAACGTAAGGTTATCTATTTCATCAACTACCCGTCCCCTAGCATGTAACTTGTAATCACTAGCTCACTGTTGAGCAGTCGCTTCCTTATCCTTACTTACCGGAAAACACTTTGTTTCGTTCTACTGGACTTACCTTTTCTGTCCTCCTGCCACTTTTTTCCTCGGCAGTTAAGCAGCTAGTTACCCAGTCTAAGATAATAACCCCAGATGTAGCACTTGTTTCTTTAATAGCTTTAATAGCTTTTAATAGCTTTAATGCTCCCTTGACCAGCACCACTACCACCCCTATGTACAGTTTATCCGTGAATGATGGGGAGTTATCGCTTTTCCTGTATTGGCTTCTGTATAATACAAAAGCTGTATGTAGCATACCGTATTGTTTGGAGCTCTTATTGCAAGGTCGGTTTTAGCGAAGGGACTTACTTGTCTACCCACTCCAGATTCCCGCGTCTGCGCAATTCCTCCAGAACGCTACTGACTAATTCTGCATTTGCCGTCCGTTGAATATCTTTATTGTGGAACAACGGACACGATGCATCGCGAATACTGGGCACACTGACCGTGTATTGATTTTTAGACTTGAAATAATCTAAAACGAGTTGACACCACGCATCGTGTTGCTTTCTGCGGGTTTCAGCATTTGGTTGAAGTGTGAAGAATGGGGGAAAACTGTACTGCCACGGCCATTCAAACTGAGAACCGGACATTTATCCCGGAGGATGTATGAAGTCTGAAAGCCCAAATATGAACAATGAGATGAAGAACCAGAAACCAGAGAAAGTGGAGTTTCATCATGTCGGATACTGTTGAACGATTAGCCGATTACACAAAAAAAAAAACATTTTTAGATCGTACAAGTACGTAATACCTGCGAAATTAAACACATTGATCCAACAATAACATTTGAGGACCACAATTATAATGCTTAGGAAACTTGACTTGACTTGACTTGAACGTTGCAAAATTAACGTGAATAGTAGACAGTAGGCGACACCATAAAATGGCCAAAAAGGCGAGATAAAAATAATCCCATAAGTTAGCAACCATATTTATTCTATTGTACCTCCAATATTGGATCAAAGAATAAACCGACACGTCTGTTATCCATAATTAAGTATCATCATTATATCAAATGAATACAGCAATAATAAATAGATGTGATTGAATCATGTATATACTTTTTCATTGTACTATCAATATAGCGAAAACGGAGGGGGCGCAATGCAATGGACAGCAACGTGTTCGCCCTCATTACCTTTGAAGAAGAATTAGCTTAACCAGTTGTGCGTCTACATCCATCCAACAGAACCGGGTGAGGAGCAGTGGCGTAATCAAGCAACGTTACCAGCAAAACCTGCGCATGAGGTTCAATCGAAGCAAACCTCGTATAGTTTATATTCTTGTGTGAACTACTTACGAGTAGTCAGAAATGGGAAACGGTAATAAATACTCAGTTTAAAAAAACAGGTTTCAAAACCCAATGGCTTTCTGTTCATGCAAGGTGAGCTCTTCATGTGTCACTCAATCCTGAGAAGTTCAACTCGCACGCTTCCATATGCAAGGCGGGTTGCTTAAAACGCCGGATGAAGTGGTTGTACTCAGTTTCAACTTATACAACCATAACCCATGCACTTTCGTGCGGCGCTTTTTTGCAGTCTTTTGGCTGTCCAGTTGGATGAATAGGTAGATGTGAGATTAGAATGTCGAGGTGTGAATAGAGAATAATGGTAGGCTAAGGTTGCAAGCATATCGCATAGATGCACGGGCGTAACTGCTTGCGACAATCAATCTTACCACCCAATAACTCTAACCATCGGGTTACACTGATACCAAGGTCCAGGAAGATTAACGTGAACTACCTGTTTAAGTCGCCTGATGAGGGTTTTCATACCTTCATGCAAGGCCTCAGTGTGACCACCATCATGGCGTTGCAAAATAGGAAGTCTGCAACGAAGAAAACATCCCATTTGACATCTACAATACCTATCCTTCTTACTGCACACCATTTTGTGGTTACCAGTCAGGCTAAGCCTTATAGTCAAGAAGACATGTTGTCCACTCATTTGAATCGGAATCCTAAGCTCCAGGACTTCGAGTGCCCACGTGTATAAAGTGCCACTAGCATAAGCGTGGTATTGATCCGGACGAGTGATACTACCTATTAAAGTTGATTGGTGGTGCGGAGCTCGAACCTCAGACCCTATGACCCAAAGCAAGAAAGGGACAGGGTAAAGCGTTGCGCCCTTGTCGATCCTCCAGGAATTTAAGTGAGGCTAGGACCACTGGATTCGAATTTGCGATGACAATGTCAATTTGTGAAAGAATCATGCTAGATTACAATCTGTACTTAACCGCAGTGAATGTGCAGTCCTAAACTTCAAAAACGAAACTTGTTACAACACTCCCGGATTACATCAACGACGAGGTATCTGAATAGGTACACCACTTCAAGTACCCAGGATCCACCATCCAGCAAAACGGTCTAGCCAAAGGGGTATCTGTTTTGCGTCGACTGCGCAAGGAGGACATTTTTACAACTTCGCAAGCCCCTGTGGTTAAACGGCGAAATAAGCCCAAACACAACTGCCTGTTTATCGATCAGGCGATTGGCCGGTTTTACATACGCTCGCTAAATGTGGCTACTGAGCAGCTAACATCGTCTCGGGGAGTAGGTAAAGACGTGGGTTAGTACAATCAAATCGGATGAATTCGGTCTTCAGATAGTTTTTGGTTTGCGGCGGGTACAACTACTGGATTTTACGATGCGCCGACATTGCTGTTGTACAACTGTCACATTGTACGGCGTAATACAGTGAAACGAACTTCATTGATCGCTGGCAAACTCATATTTCATACAAGGTAAGTGATAGTGTGTAAGGAGGATAGGGATTGGACCTAATTTTGGGGACGGGAGAAGAAAGCGAAACTCTATGGTTAACACACAGAGTACACAGTTTAATTGCGCATACATACTATTTCAAGCACTCTGGTCTGATACGAAGTGATAGCAAGATCGCTATTCCTATCACTTTGCCGCCATAACCTTCAGTGTCTCTAACCATACCGTTACGGAGTCTTTCGGACCGCAACCCGGAAGACCAGAGACACCTACTCTACCTAATCGCTGCGCATTTCTTCATGCCTCGTCTCCACGTCATCTGCTGGCCTCCACGTGGCTTTCACCAGCCTGCAACAGNCACTGCGAAAAGGGCGTGCTGCGCTAAGCGACCGTCGGTCATACGTCATAACAGAGCCGACTGAGCTGGATTCGATGCGATACCGAGCTCTGGTTTGATATACTCCCGAACACCCGACGACTTACTTCCAGATTACTAACACGCTCACTCCATCCCACTTGGGGCAGCATCGATTGTCGAAAATCACTTGGCGACGGATGTCTTCTACCCGCAAGTTCAAGGTCTCAAAACCGTACAGCAGAACTGATCGTACAGTGGCGCAGTATACGCGACTTTTCAACTTTGGTGACACGTCATGTCGCCACGGCAGATGTTTTAGTCCTGCGTACGCTACTCTAGCCTTGGAAATGCGGGCGATTATCTTCATTGATGCGCTACCGTCGTTGGTCACGCAGCTACCCAAGTACGAGAAGTAGTCAGCTTCAGCTAATTCCTGACTGTCAAGTTTCAGAACAGAACTCGGTGACACCCAGTCTTGTAGCATCACTTTGCATCTGGAAGGTGCAAAGCGCATGTCGAAGGAGATACAGAACTTGCCAGTCTGTCAATAGCGCATTGCGCATCCATAGATTCGAATAGGTATACGATGTCATCGGCGTACTCTAAATGGCACAGCTTTTCTCCAGCTGCCCATTCAATACCTATGTTTTGGAGACCAGTAAGTGCGTACTCCAATACTTCGTCTACGACGAAATTGAACAGGAATGGCGAAATAGGACACCCTTGACGGACACCGCTCCTGGTTTCCAACGATTTACTTACCCCCACCGTAGACCCCTACGCTACTAGAAGTATGCAGGTACAACGACCGCAATAGGTTTACATACTTCCGCGGCGTTCCTTTGCAGAGCAGCGACCCCAGAAGAGCTTCACGGTCAACTGAATCGAAGGATCCTTTTAGGTCAAGGAACACTGCGATTATTGGCCGACGATGTGTGTGACGTAGTTCGAGGACTTGACGCAGAGTGAAGATTTGGTCGATACATCCGCGACCTGGTCGGAATTCGGCTTGATGTTCGCGGATATTCCTCTTCCTTAAGGGTGTCAGGCGGCGAAATATCACGGAAGTCAACAAATTTGCGATTATCGGAGCTAAACTACTCCCACGGTGATTAGTGCAGTCGTTGCGTGATGCCATCTTGAAGATCGGGACGATGAACGATTCAGTCCAGGACAAAGGGATACGCTCCTCCGTCCAAATGCTGCGAAGTGAGCTAGTAATTGAGTCGACAAGAGAATTATCGCTCACCTTGAAAAGAATGGGGAAAAGCCCATCAGGTCCCCCAGCCTTTCCTTTCTTTTAAGATTGAATGCAGCTTACTTTCGATTCTGATAGGGGCTCGCATGATACCACCCATGGAGTTTCCGCGACAATTGTTGGAAAGATCACATTAGTACTAGGCCAACTGAAC